AAACAAGCACGTACAGGTATATTCCTGACATTTCACATCACTGTGGACAGCATAAACGTGCTGGGTTGAATTTTTTAGTGCATCGTCTTTTGACTTTCCCTCTAACACATGATAGGTTCAAAAAAGAAAGACGCACAATACAGGAAATAGCAGCCAATAACGGTTTCTCGAGGGGTATTGTAGATGACATAATAAGGAAAAAGAAGTTTAGGTTAAGGATGAACGAAATCTCGACATTCAGAACGGACAAAAACCAAGATAAATACATCTCAGTTCCATACCACCAATATACGAGGAACTTTGGAAAGATTCAGTTCTGTTATCATGAACAATGCCAGTATTTTGAGCATTTGCTGTGATTTACTTTTGTTATTGTTATTTGTTCAAAGTTCAATTGACATTGAAAAGGACACAATGTCCCATTCACCTCATACACCCCATTTATCAAATTTTGATTGTCGATTCTGTCTCCGTATTTTCAAATGAACCAAACTCGGTGAGGTTTTGGTCCAATAATTCGAACATAGTTCGATGTGGTTGTCGTCTTTCGAGATACAAGTTTAAATACATTTCCGACGTCCTAACACTGTTTCTATCGTATTTGTAATGAATTTTTATCATATTTATTTTTTCTTTGTCTTTCGAGATACAAGTTTAAATACATTTCCGACGTCCTAACACTGTTTCTATCGTATTTGTAATGAATTTTTATCATATTTATTTTATCTTCATTCGTGAAAGCCATTTTTCGCCAAAAATTCAATGACTTGTAGAATAACAAAATGTCATTGAGTGTAATGAATTGAAAGTCAAATTTATAAACATCAAAGTCAAAGCCTATTATGATAAGAATGAGCTTTATTCAATATCTCCAATTTTTCGAAAAAGAATGACAACTTGTGATACATCTTCGAAAAGCTAAAATCTGGTTCTATTCAAAACAGAGAGAATCCGATGTAGCGCCCATAAGAAAAATTAAAGATAAAGTCTAATAGCAAATCTGAAAACACTATTATCTAGTGGTACGATAGTTACAAATGAAAATGGTAAAAAACATAGAAAAAAATCGTTATTATTCATTATTAGACGAATGTTTGTGACCAGATTCTCTATATTGGACTCGGCGATTGAAAATAAATTGTTGTTGACAAGGATTGCGATTTAGATGTAACTTACTCGAATCTGTTTGGAAAACTACAGAACCAAGCTATCTAATTCTGAGAAACGAGGGTGCGTATTACAGAACTTTACCAAACCCATCAAAAATTTTTGTTTCAAAGTAATATCATCAAATACCATTTCAACGTAACTTTGGTATCAAATAGATCAGGACTAGTGGTTTTTGTCCCAAATTTCACAAGTAAAATGTTGAAACGGAGACAACTTTTTCGAAAAGAGTGAAAGAACCTACGAACCACATCTGTTAATGAGAAGACAAATTAAATATTTGCAAATTATCTTTTGGCAGTGGGGCATGTGTTCCATCATGACTGGCATTTGGAACATCTGATGTGACCATATTCAACAAAATTAGTATTCTCCATGGTAGAATTAAGCAATTTGGTATTAAAAATAAGGAAAGTTTGATTACAAATTGTTCTCGGAAAAACTGGAATCGTCAGTTATGAAGTATTAGGTGAAATATATTATTATCCTATTTACTATTGAGTGTGACACATCAAGCTTCCATCAGAAGTTCAAGATGAAAGAGCGGAGAGCCACCGGTAGACAGCTGTTTCAGCCTATGGGGTATCGTCAGTACCGGGCAGGCGGTCCTCGATTGAAAAAAAAATATGAATAACCAAAAAAGTACTTAATGAAAATAACTGCGTAAATGCAAACGAGACAAAAGTGGAACACCTATTGGTATGACATCCAAGTCAACACTGACATAAAAACTTGGCAAGTTGACTTGGATGTCACACCAATAGGTGGTTCCACTTATGTATCGCTTGCGTTTAAGCAGTTATTTTTATTAAGTACTTTTCTTGGTAATTAACATTTTGTTTTCAATCGAGGACTGCCTGGCTGGTGGCTCTTAAATTGAAATCAATATGGGAATGATCTGAATAGTACTTATCTATTTATTTTTTGATTTTCATGGCATTACTTTCCAGCAGCTTGACTGCATTAACCTATCTCTAATATCTATTTCTCCGTATCGGTCAGTCCTAAGAAGCAAAAATTTGGTATATATGTAGGTGCTTTAGGTCTTAGATGAGCACTAAGAAAGAATTTTCAAATATTCCCCGTGGGGGTAAAAGAGGCCGCGTTTACATATAAAATTTACTTTCATCACTGTTTCTCCGTACCGCTATATTTATATATCAGAGGCTGAAATTCTGTATGTAGGTTCGTTTCTTGTTGTAGATGTGCGATAAAGGAAGATTTTCAAATAATTCGACCAGGGTTTCCCCACTGGGGATAAAAAGGACGCGTTTATATATAAAAATTACCTTTTCATCACTATTCCTCAGTACCTCTATATTTTCGGAGGCTGAAATTAATTTGCCTCATACAGGGTCTTCAAAAAATGCAGATACTTTGATCTCATGAAAAAATGAGTGGAACTCAATTTTTTCAAAAGGAACACCCTGTATATTTCAACATTTTTATTTTCGGTGGGTGAATTCATATTTAGTGTCAGCATTGCACCCGTGCGGAGCCGGGGCGGTCACGATAGAGGAGCAGAAAAGCTGAGGAGACAACAATTACAATCGCTTCTTAGGAATATTCATGTTTTGAATCTATTGCGTAACGTAGCATGGGCAAGTTATTCAAGATTCATCAAATCATAACTCCCTAGTATATATTTTTTTTCTGGAATGTAACTCACAATCTTCTTCGCACAAGTACATTCCTCATTGCAATAATCATTGCTGGTTGAAAAATTCAAGGAAAATGATGTAGAGAACTGTTGAATCTAAAAACACAATATCGCTTACTGACGATTTTTTTTCATAGCCACAATAGAATATATCCATCCTCCTGGAAATAAGATTCATTTTGAAGTCGATATTTTAAAGTAGTTTGAATTTCAATTCATTTAATACGATGAAACTTCGTACATTAACAACTGGAAATCATCCTTCCATAAAAATTACAAAACTTCACAACAATGGTTGAATAGAAAATAAGCAGATGAAATAGAGTTGACGATCAATCTAATTGAAAAATCTTAGTGGTTTTCTGAGGTCTGAATTGCTGGTCATATCAAAACAAAATTCCGAACATTTACGATGAATTGAAGAAAAGTACAATGACTTGTAGAAGACTATTGTTTTTTGTTGAGTTTTTTTCACTGGTGGATTTATGTTCGATGCTGTAGACAATAATGAAAGGTTATGAAACAATAGTGGGCGTTACTGGTAATCAATTATATTACAACTATTATTAAGACACGTTGTATGAATGAAAAAAGGTAACATGATTTTTTAATTTCTATCTTCGGGGAACGCCCCAGTTGTGTACGATGATTGTAAAACAATAAAAAAATGACCGGAAATTCTAAAACACAACAAAAAATATCCAGAAAGGTAAGAACTTATATCTATCGCGACATATATGAGTTGGGAATGGTTTTGCTGATGTGTATTGTTGTCATCTAATCATAGATAACAAAACAGAAAAATGACTCTAGAAATTGGATGGAAATATTCAGGACGTAGAATTAAAAATGATGGAATTAATTCGGCCGTTATAAAAAAAAGAATGCTCTATTTATTCTTTGTAACAAATGATAGTGATACCACTTTTATGAATAACATATCAAAATACATTTGGTTGAAAACAGAGTAGGGTGACAAAGTAGTTGAAAGAATGAATTTTCATATAATAAAGTTCAATTAATTTTTGCTCTGTTGTGGCTTCCGATTCTGATTAATGACATTGAGGTATAGCGGAAATGCTTAGCTAAAATGATAATATACTCTGCCATTTGAAGCGTTCTCTCATCTCTTCTATTTTTGAAAATCATTGACAAATATTCATTCGATTCACAATCAAATATTTATTGTACAGGAAAATTCATTTTCGGAAAAAAATCTCGAAATTACAATCCCTCCCAACTATCTACACAGTTGGTTCTGGTAAGTGTCTGTCGGAAAACAACTACTTCCCCGGCTGATACCATGCTAAATAATGAGATATATCCGACAGACATTATTGTAAGATACCTGACCATGGTAAATCTCGCAGATGTCTCTCTTTCCTTCAGCAGCAGCACCAGACCGTTTTCAAACTATTACCAGGAAAGATCCGATCCAAAGAGTAAAGTACCTGATGGGACTCGAATAATTTCAACGCGGCTCGACTGCATGTATGACACTTTTGTCTAAGATAAATAAGGTATAATTCATAAATAACGACTTCGCTTTCAACGACTAACCGTTTTTAGCGATGATCATATTCACTCAACTTGAGTTTCATATTCAGGTATTGAGAAAATATCATCATTAAGTGCGACACAGGTTTAACCCTTTAATCTTTAACCTTTAACCCAAAGCTATTTTCCAGGTGCGAGAACGCTCGAACGCGACTTTGGCCGACTTCACCCGACTTGGTACCTTTTCCTCGTGTCGAACAATAGCAATCAGTATATACATCAGTTGTGTTCAGTAATTTGTTTAGGTGTCATCGCTTGTTTCGTCCTGATAGACCCAACCCGTTCCTTCTGGTAAGTTTTCATTTAAAAAAAAAACGTAAAGGTGAAAAAGTGAAATAGTATCATTTTAGATTGAAAAATGTCAGATCCATATGAAAAAAATATCAATTGGCTGCGGAAGTTGTACGATGAGGAGCCTACAGACGAGGAAGACATTATTGAGGAATCTGAGGATTCCAATGCAGATGAAATAACATGTGAACACAGCGATCACGAAACCGATTCAGAGCAGGAGATTACTCCGTTAGATAAAAATGAAATTCCTGCGCAGAGCATTTCACGTGGTAAAAGGGCTCACTTATATTATGAAGCCAAAGATGGGTTTAAATGGAATAAAATGTGTCCTCCAAAAAACGTGAGAACTAGGCAGCACAACATTATATCCAAATTGCCAGAAGTAATTGGCGATGCAAAAAATGCTTCTACGAAGGAACAGTGTTGGGATTTATTTGTTAACGCAGCTATAACCATGAACATTGTAGAGTGCATTAACATATATATCGAAACGATTGCCAACCGTTACCAAGACAGCTCTGATGTAAGACCAATTACAATAACTGAGCTGAAAGCCTTGTTTGGTCTACTCTATCTGATCGGAGTATACCATAGCGGCCGAACATCTATTTTTGAGTTCTGGGCAACTGATGGAACTGGAATAGTTATTTTTCCCGCTACAGTGGCTTTGAGAAGATGCCTACGATTCGACAACAAACATACCAGGGAGGAACGTAAACGAGAAGATACTCTCGCCCCCATTAGATACGTTTTTGAAGCCGTTGTTAAAAATTTTCAGAAATGTTATTCCATCGTACAATATTCCACCATCGATGAAATATTGCTAGCTTTTCGAGGTCGTTGCAGCTTCAGGATGTACATTCCCAACAAGCCTGCCCGATATGGGTTGAAAGTTTTTTCATTAGCCGATACTCGAACGTTTTACACTCTGAACCTAGAAATTTATGCAGGTAAGCAGCCAGAAGGTCCGTACAGAGTGAGCAACGCAGCCTATGATGTAGTTGAAAGAATTGTTAAACCGATTACGAAATCAAATCGAAACATTACCATGGACAATTGGTTCACTTCGGTGGAATGTGCTGAAAATTGACTAGTGACCCATAAATTGACGGTTGTTGGTACTATGCGTAAAAATAAGCGGCAAATACCAAAAGATTCATCTCTATTGCAAGACCAGAGGAGTCAAGTATGTTTGAGTTTACTGAAAATATGACCATTGTTTCCTATAAACCAAAAAAACAAACAAACATGTTATTATTGTGTCTACGATGCATCATGACGACTCCATCGATGCAAGCACTGGTGAAGATAATAAACCGGAAATTATCACTTTCTATAATACGACAAAATGTGGTGTTGATGTAGTGGATCAACTTTGTGCCAAATATAGTGTTGCCAGAAACACCAAGAGATGGCCGATGGTTATTTTTTATAATTTATTGAACGTGTCTGCGATTAACGCTTTTATTATAAAAAGAAGTAATGATCCTTCATCACCGTCAGGAAAACAGAGAAGGATATTCCTAAAACAGCTCGGAATTCAATTGGTAATGGAGCACATGAAAGAAAGTTACATCTTCGCATTTGACGAGAGACATACGATACAAGGCTGCAAAAATTAGCGGTGTCCAGGTACCGGAACCAGTAGCTGTCGAGGGTAACTAAAGAGGTCGTTGTAGCTTCTGTAAAGATCGCAAAACGCGTTTTCAATGCAAAATTTGTAAAAAATATATTTGTTTAGATATATTCCAGATATTCAAGGAAAGTCATTTTTTGTGGAGGAAAAAATCAGTTTTTTATCGACCTTTTTTGGGTATATGTTACCTTCCAATCTATGTATATGGAGTATATTGAAGAATCTTTTGTTGAAACTTATCAGAATGGTCCCAAAGTTTGGTGGAGATACGTTGACGATATCTTTGCTGTTTGGAATTTTTAAACCATGATGACCTGAATGCTTTTTTGAGTTATATCAACGAGCGGGAGCCGACAATAAAATTCACAATAAAGGTTGAACAAGATGGTCGACTCCCTTTCCTTGATGTAATGTTGGAGAAGTCATCAGATCAATTTGATACAAATGTTTATCGGAAGGAAACACATACAAATAGATGTCTCCACTGTACATCAAATCATCATGCGAGTGTTGAAAAAGGTATAATAAAGTATATATATCCGAGAGTAGGTAATAAGAAATATACCTACATTTATTGATATCAACTACATAAACTGCAAACCGTGATTAATTGGGTTGTCATCTTTAGAAATTCGAAAGTGGAGACCCACACAAATCTGTTTGTACGTTAAGGGTTTTATATTTTGAGTTTTTAACTGACTTATTGATTTCCATGGCTTCCAACAAATTCATTTTCCTTCGTTTACTACATGTATGTAAGATTTTGAGGTTTTCCATACTCATTTTATGGTTGGTTTCTTATAGATGTTCTTACATAGATTTTTTGTTCACACCGATGTGTTCACGGAGTCTTACTTCGAAATATCTACCGGTCTGGCCTATATATACTGCAGAGCATTCACTACATTCTATTCTATACATGCCAGATTTCTTCATTCTGTCACATCTAGATTTTGCATTAAATATGATTTTGCCTAAATTATTATTCAAGAAACTTGGTCGTATTAATATCAATACATTAAATGGAAATTAGACAAAGTTTTTTATTCCTATATTTAATTCAAATTGCTATCAAAGTTGTACGATACCTCACTGGAATGTCCTTCATTTATCCATTATGGAAATAATGCACTCATGGAAGATTGAAAATCTCGTTCTCTCATATGTGTATGTTGAATAGAGAAACCCGATTCTTAAAGCAACACAACTCGTAAACTCACTTTGTATGCATTCTTAGTTTGTTATGTATATTGCACTATAGAGTTGATAGAGACTCTATGTAAAGTGACAGTTGTATTTCTTCAAGCAAATTCAAGCCTGTTTGTTTGTCTAAAGATCAACTTGTGCTTCTGAAGTCACGGAAGTTATTCTATCATCCATGAATACATAAAATCCTTTTTCAATGAAACGACCTTCTAACGGCAAACCTTGTTTTAACAAAAACTGCGAGCAAGCTGTCGTCTCCAATAATCTCGCCTACCGGCAGTGGCGCAAAAATCCCAGTGCGAAAAACTGAAATAGGTTTGTTGATGCTCGCAATAGCGGCAAACCTAGGATAAACGAAAGCAAATGACTTCACGATCAGAGAATCAGCAATAAATTGCTTACCAATCCCAACATGTCTAGGTCCTTCTGGTCGGTAGCTCAAGCGCAATCAGAACTTTACAATATCCACAATTCCATCACTATCACAAGCGGATGCAACAACAGCCATAGAAAAATCTACTAGCTGAACAATTTTTGTCTCACTCCACTGTCGATTTTCTGGAAAAGACACCACCCACTATTGCCTCACTAGAATCCACAAGGCCAGAAATTACTTTTCGACAGCGTCTAGTGAGGCGAATTTTCAAACAGCTCAATATCAACTAGGCTTTTGGCCCTGATGAAGTGCCCGCCATCGTACTCAAAAAGTGGGCAAATGAACTCGCACTAGTATTTTGTAGACTTTTTAACCTGTCTTATAGAAAAGAACTTTTTACTTCTTGTTGGAAGATTGCTGGCGTTCAGCCTATTCCCAAAAACTGCAAAAAATTCTTTCAAGTAACTATATAAAAATCGCTTTGCTATCAGTGATATCAAAAATCATTGATAAAGTCGTAAACCACCATATCTTCAACATTTTGACCGATCATCAATATGGCTTTCGGAAACAAAGATCAATAGGCTACCTTCTATCGTATATTACTCATATTTGGAATAGAGCAATGAGAAATATAGAAAATCAAGAGCTGTTGCGCTTGATATTTCTAAGGTCTTTGATCTTGTGTGGCATGAGGGTTTGCTGGCCAAGCTTCGTTGCTATGGCTTGTCGGATCATTTTTGTGTATGGCCCTTCAACTTACTGAAATAACTTTCCCTGCAAATGGCCGTCGATGGATTTTTCTCGAATACCCTCAACATCTACTCTGGTGTTTCCCAGGGACCCATTATGTCTCCAACCCTCTTTTTATTGTATATCAAGGTCTTTTCGGAAAAAAACATTAGGCCAATATATTGCTTTCACTGGCAGCAGGAGATTTTTTATCTCAATGAAGATCTAGAAATGATCTCGAATTGGGGTGAAAGTAACCAGGTTCAATTCAATGCCACAAAAACCCAGGCATCGGTTTCCTCCAAAAAGATAATATTCTCCAAACCAAATATGATGTCAGGTTAGAGAATTCCGCTTCCTGCTTCGTTTAGTTTGTTGGGGGTTGAAATGAACAGCAATATATCTTGGCACAATCATGTCGCTGGAATTGCGAAGTTCTCAAATGCTTGGAACACTGTTCCGAACCAGAAAACTGTACACACCTTGGCAACTTTTGTTGCTTCGTAAAGCTCAAATCAGACCTTCTTTGTAGTTTTGTTCTCATGTATGGAGCTTTGCCCCCAAACATATCCAGAAGTTGCTGGATTCCATCCAGAAGAGAGCTGTCCGCCTGATTGAAAAGGCGAACATCACGTGCAACCTTGATAGCCTGGAACACTGATGAAAGGTTGGAGATATGTCTCTCTCCTATATATACTTTCATGGTAGGTTTTCAAGTGACTTGGCATATTTGAATCCACCAAGGGCGATACGTATCAGAAATACGTGATGGACTGTGGCTGCTCATCGTTTGAGCATTCTCTCATCTAGAAAACAGTGTTTATGTGAAATCAACTTCCTGAGATCGTTTTTCAAAATGGATTCAATCTCCAGCTATCCAATGAATGAAGGGTTATAAGATTTTTCTGAAGATTTTACACTTCATGTTTCAAGATTTTTGTGTCTTCAGCAGAAAACAGAAAATTGGAATAATCGGATTTAAAACCAATATCATTCATGAATAAGTTTCACAGAACCCAAAGGAGATCCTTGGAGTGCTCCTTAAACAACTCGAAAAGGAAAATATCCTCGATATAAAAAAGGAATTTTTACTTCTTGTTGGAAGATTGCTGGCGTTCAGCTTATTCCCAAAAACTGCAAGAAAAAAGTCTTCCAAATAACTATATACCAATCGCTTTGGTGTTAGTGATATCGAAAATCAAGGAAAAAGTCGTAAACCACCATATCTTCAACATCTTGAACGATCATCAATATAGCTTTGGGAAACAAATATCAATAGGCGACCTTCTATCGTATATTACCTATATTTAGAATAAAAGCAATCGAGAAATATGGAGAATCAAGAACTGTTGAGCTTGACATTTCCAAGGCATTTGATCGTGTGTGGCTTAAGGGTTTGATAGCCAAACGTTTTTCCAAATGGATTCAATTTCCAGTTATTCAATGAATGAAGGGTTATACGATCTTTCTGGAGATTTTACACTTCATGTCTCAAGATGCATTTCCGTGTCTGGTGCACATGATTATCAAAAGACCTACTGAGGTTCGTGTAAACTGAGTCTACTTGAAACCATATTGCTATTACCATAGATATGATATTTCAATTGAGTAGAAGATTTTGTTACCATTGATCTTCCACTGAATAAACTATGCTATTGATCTGTGATGATGATTATGATAGGAAACATATAGAATTGAATGATTTTCAAGAAAATACGGAACTACTTTTCCGTATATTTGGAAAATTTTGATGACGAAAAGATGAAAGAAAATATATTTGTATGAGTTCAGAGTGTGAATATGTGAATCAATTCAGAGATTTCATGAGAGGAGACTGGTGAATGTCAATAACTGTATCTACCAATTTTCTATCAAAATAAATCATGGAATTTGTGGACTTTCAGCCTATTCTCGACGAATTCATAAAAAATCCGAAATATTTGGCCTCAGCTGGAACTATATCCATTTCAGATGGATAACTACTGAAACACGATTGTATTGTAGATTCAAAATGTGCTCAATGGTTTGAAAAGTTCATGGAAACTTGTATATTGCCTGTTTTTGTATTCGGCATGAAATATTTCTTTTTCCTTATCATGATATGCAGTTCACTAGAATTGTTTTCCCAATAACTTTTCCG